GGGAACACCGCTAGTTACAGGCCTCCAGCTCTACTCTGTGCCGCTGATCACAACCCTCTGAGCCCTGCCATTCAGACGGTCCACCTCACTGTCTACTCCTCTAACCCACAATTCCTGTTTCCCTATGAGGATGTTATGGGAGCCAGTGTCAAAAGCCTTGCTGAAGTTGAGGCAGACAACACCCACTGCTTTCTCCTCATCTACGCAGCCAGTCATGCCATCACAGAAGGCTATCAGATCGGCTAAGCATGATTTCCCCTTGGTGAATCCATGTTGACTGTTAGAAGAATGTTAGTGCTTTGTTTATTTTCGTTTTCACTTCTCCCAAACACCTGTGCCAATAAAGCACTTAAGCACGTGTTTTGCTTAACTTTAGTTAAGTCCTGTTAGTATCAATAGATTTTAGCAAGTATACTCATGTAAGCATTTGTGGAAATACTTTACTGGGCCGAGCCAATGGAGGTAAAGTAATTCAAGAGGAGTCCAGGCATTTGGCTGGAAAGGGGATTTCCAAGTTTGATTTTGATCATTGATTAAATTGAATAGTATTGGTTTATGATATGGCTGTTGCAGCAATGTTCTTTACATCAACAGCATCCAATTCGGGACTATTAAAACATTGGTATTTATTCAAGCCTAGTGCATGCTTAAATAATAGAGTGTACTATTAAAAGAAGTATCAGGCCAACATAGGGAGCTACTTCTGTTTACTTTTTATCACTTTACTGTCTGCAAGGCAATAAAAATAAACTCCACACAATTGTTTAGAACAACAAAAAAAAACCCCAAGAATGTGTACTTAACTCACAGAACTCGTGGCTTCAGAGTTGTATGAAGGACAAGCTCTCTGAAGGGTTAAAACTATTTGCAGACAGAACACAGTACTTTCCATTAAGTGAAAAAAAACATGTAGATAACCTCATACTAGTACATCAGTCCCTTAAGCGCTGGAAAAGTTTCTTTCAGTGGTAGCCTGTTTTCTAACTTTGTAGGGGTTAGGAAGGAGAAAGGTTTTGGAACATAGTGGTACAGTCTCAAAAATAATGTTTTGTAGTAGCTGACCAACAGGTGGCTCAGTAGGGCATTCTTCTTCCACCTACTCTTGTCATCACCAAATAGTTATATGATCTCTTCTCTGATCTCACATATGAAAACAGTGTGGCAAGGAAGACAGTTCAAGGTGACTCTTAATGAGTCAATAAATATGGCAGCATTGCTGTCTACAGGCAACTGGGCTTTCATGCCCCAGACCAGCTTAACATACTTTCAGAAGGACCTACCTCTGCTGTGTAAATGTAGATGGTGTTGAAGTTTGCTGAAACCAAGGCACGCAGCATGAAGAGAAACCCAGTCGTGCCTGTGCTAGAGAGAAAGGCATGTGGAGTAAAGAGTTAGTATCACTAAATTGTGATCAGCAGAGATGCAATCTAATATATTCATTGTGCTCAGGCTTTTACCATCTTAATATGAGGAAAAGCATGAGGAAAAGCATAAGGAAAAGATGGTTGCTGACAAGTATAATCTTTCTTTGATAAGGCATAGTTGACAATGGGAAATTGCATGTTAGGTTTCCTTTAGGCCAGCGTTAGAGGCTGGAAGGAATGATCTGAACACGACTGTAGAGGCTCAGCACTACAGTCAAGTCTGACTTCCAGCCTAGCTCTTGCCTTCGGTTCCTGTATAAAACTTTTGCAAGCAAATATGATGGCCGGGCTCAGTTTCAGGGAAAACTGAAAATAATAATAGTAGTACAGAGGCCAATGCCTTACTGAATGACTGTAAGCTTCCTGACAGGGGCTTATTTAGCTTAATGACTATTTGCAGCCTCTGGCTCCCAAGTATTTCAGCCAGCTTCCAGGGCCAGTGGCCCACAGGGCAGGCAGCAGGGGTGTACACTGCTGGCGAGCAGCCGTCAGGCTACCAGCCAGTTTAGCAGAGACTTCAGCTTGAAGCCATCCTAATTTTCAGTAACTGTTAATCTCTGCCAGCTTGAGAGGGGTCTTTCTTATGCATCCTCACAAATCAACCTGATAATCCCAGCACTTGTGACAGCCTTTCCCTTGATGCTTTGAGCTCCACTTGCTCTACAAGTTAGAGGAGACATATGTAGCATTGCCAAAAAATGAAAGAAAGGGGGAAAAAACAAATGAGAAATATTACTTCTTTCTGGTGGATGTTGTTCACATAATTTTTAATTTTCTAGACCGCTAGAAAGCAGCTTGTTGTATGCCCAGGGGAAGCCACGTGAGCTCAATAATACAAGTGAGCCCCTCTGCACTACAGCAACTCCTGCCACAGCTTTCCCAGGTAAAGGAGGGAACCAGTCAGAGGGTTTTTTCAGATGTACAAGAATTACTGGCCTGACCAATTAGTGTCCTGAGAATACCATAGCTACTGCCCTCTGCCCACAGCATTGCACAGCCCCCCCAACAAGACCCAGACTACCTCGAGGTGCAGATATTGAGGAGAAGAAAGAACAGGGCCGTACATCCCATGGTGATACACAGGCTCAGTCGTCTTCCAAGGACATTGATGCTGAGAATGTTCAAAGGATTTACTGGAAATAAAAAGGAAAACTGTAAAAACGTTAGATGACCTAACTGCAGTGATTGTCCGTCTTGATAGCCTTTATGCAGTGTGCCTCAAAAATCCCTCTCTGCATCCCCAGTGCCTACCAAATGCTCTATAAAATGTGCAGTCACTATAATTCTCTTCCTGTACCCAAACCCTGTAATTTGCCCCTTTTTTGTTTGTCCTTCCTCTCAAAGGATGGAGCCTGTCCTCTGAAATTGCTCTGCTGGACTAAGGCAGGACACCGATGCCTGTCCTGACCCATGCAAGGAAGGCACCCGCTGGGTGCGCAGTGCAGGCCTGGGTGGTTTTGCTCCCTCTGGCCGCAGCCCAGACAAACACTGGGGCCCAGAGCATGCCCCGTTGAGTCCTGCTGGGAGCCAAGCAGGCAGCTGAGCGCATCGCTGAACTGGTCCCAGCCTGGCTGCACCTGCAGGATCCAAGACCTGGTCAATTTGTAGCTCAGTTGCTGAGACATATGAACCAGGGAAAACATTCACCTCCCAGAAGTGTTGCAAGACTAGATCTACATACAGTGCCAAGTTCTTTCAAGGGTGCCTTTGGGCAGTCCTGCCACCCCCCCAGCGCTCCCAGGCAGGCTGCACCAGGAAGCATTTTGGTTTGCTGTGTGTTCCCTGGGCACTTAGTTGTCTCTCCTTTACTGTAGTGCTCAGCACAGGACCCACTCCTGAGGCCACCATCTCTTGGAAAGTAGAGCATTTGAGTGTTGCATTTAATTACAGCAACCTGACTATTTGCAATCTTTGCTTATTTATGACTTTCCAAAAACTACAAGTCTGGGAATTTGGGAAGCCAGGCTCAGTTCTGGTAAGTGAGGAGCAATTTCACCTGGAGTTTAACCAAGGCTGTCGGTATGTGCTAACTGCAAAGGACATCTTTGGCTCTGCTGTTGGAAGGGCCCGTGCTGTCATCAGAAGCTGAATTATTCACCTGGGGAGCAATGTCCTCCCTTGCGCCTTGCCATCAGCTCATGGCCTGTGTCCCAGACCTTCATTTGAAGAGCCTGTGCTTGGCACTTGCCAGCAATGCTAAGGACATTTTGACCTCTGGCACATCACTAAACGCATGCAAAGCTAAAAGCTTTGCATTAAGAATTGGCTGCCAGTAAAAAGGGAATGGCAGGGCAGGGAGGGGAGAAGAGGTTACGTGCGATCTCTCCAACTGTGCTGATGATCATGGTCTGGTAGGCAGCGGGCCCAAAGAAGCGGCAGTGGCAGGGGCTGTGGCTCTCCTCGGAGTCATCGCCAGGGTCCTGCACTGGTCGTGCAGTGGAGCCACAGACAAGGTCCCGCTCCAGTAACTCTGCGCTGGCCAAGATGACGCCGTAATAAGCAAAAGCTATGCCAAGCCTGCGGGGAGGGGGAGAAACACTGCAATGAGCGACAGCAACAACAGGGAAGGTGAGGAAACTGAAACGCAGCAGGTTTCGGGTGCCCTGGGACCCCAGCTGCATGCACCAGCTCTGCATGATGGACCCCTTTAGCCTGAGCCTATCAGTGACCCGGGCACCCACCAGGTCACCCCACCCACAGCACACCAGTACCACCTCTGTCCATGCACCTCTCTTCCTCAGGGGACCCCACCCCAGCTCATAGCTTGTCTTTTTGCTTGCCCCCTTAGTGCTGTTTCTTGCTCTGCAGCAGGTGGCCGGCTGCGGTCACACTGGGGAGAGCGTTCCCCTTCAGCCCCTTTCCTGACACAGAACTGTAAGTGGAGACATTTCCAAACCACCCCTTCCCAGGGGACCAGGGAGCCTCAACATCAGGCCCTATATGCTTGCAGCTCACATGAAGCAACTGTCCAGGATTTTTTTATTCCTTATCCTTTCTGCTCAGGGATTTGCAAAAGGACTTTTTATTAACTGGCTGGAGAGGCTCACATTGCACTTTGGCTGACTGTCAAGAACACAGCATTGGTGATGGCAGCCTGGCTGTGTCATTATCAAGTAATTCAGCATACGCTTAATCATAAGCAGGCTGAGAAGTAATTTTCACTTTTTTTTTACCCCTGCCCCCAGCAGTTTCAGAAATGAGCAGCAGAATCTGGGCTAGGAAATGAGCTGCCTGGGGAATCAGGGGGATGCTCAGGATGCAGGGGGGGGGAGGGGGGACGGAGGGGGGACGGGGAGGGGATGCAAACCCAAGAACATGCCAGCAACTCCTGGGTGGACTAGGAGAGAAAGGAGGATTAAAAACTAAATAGAAAGATATTTCGTAACACTCATACAAGTTGAGAGGGGGGAAAAAAAAAAATAAAAATCCAAGGCCTGACTTTTAATAGCATTTTGGGTCAATGAGTTCCCATGGACCCATTATTTATACATTTCCATTCCAGACAGCAAAGTCAATGAAACATATATTACCCTTGCATACAGCTAACAGGAACATTGCATATGAAACCTGCCTCTCTTCAATCTTAATTTTCCCTGGCCGATGGCACTAGTAACAGTTAATGAGTTTCTGTTGGAGCCCTATTTCACTGATACATTGGCTGGCCTGCAAAGGTTTCTCCTCCTCTTGGGAAGAACAAGTTTACATCAAGAAGGGAAATGGAGCCACAGTCACATTGCTGGTGCATGCTGCAGTCAGGCGTGGACTCTCTCTCCTGCGGCTCTCCACTGGCTCCCACCTCACCTCTGCCAAGCCTCCTTGTCCTGAGGAAGGACTCGTGGCACCCTGCACCATCCTGGATGTCCAGCCTTTTTATGCCTGTGTTAGCATTAACTGACATGGAGTGTCTGAGGCATGGTCTTGGACAAGTCTACGGTGACCCATGCCCACATACTCCCCCTCCAGCTGCTAAGGATCTGCAGCTGCCTCCTGAGGCAGAAGTGGTGCCTTGTAATGGTAGAGCCAATGGGAGAGTTCTGCTCCCTGCACATGTTCAGCTGAGAGAATAAGCTGATAAGCAAGAGAAAAAAAAAAATAAATAAAATTTTTTTTTCACCATATGATCCATATCTGCAAAGTGGTTCTGAGGTATTTGGGGTGGATGAGGTCCTTGAATCTTCCTCTCCTTTCCTGCAAATCATTGATAGAGATAGTTTTTTAAAGGGCATCTTTTATACTGGGGCGAGTGTTCTGCAGCAGCAGCTGGCACCCCAGGCCCCCCCTGCCCTCACCACAGGCTGTCGATGGCACAGACAGACTGACAGATGGTGCAACATATCAGCTCTCCAGAGAGAAAAGCCTCCCCTCCCCAAGGATGCCCACAGGAGGATCCACTGCAAAGGATGGGGGTGGGAGAAGAAGAGAACACCCTGAGCACTGCCAGCCCTCACAGGACATCCCAGCTCCCAGCGATCTGGCCCCAGCATGACCATCATGGTGCCAGAGAGGGATCTGGTTGCTGCTGGGGTTCCAGCACTGCTGGGGCTGCTGGCAGCTCACATTGCCCCACATGCTGGGGAGAGGGGCCCAGTATCCACTCTGCCTGTGGAGCGAGTTTGTGGCTATGTACGTCTTGCTGGGAGGCCTGAAATGCCAGTGAGCAGAGAGACAAGCAGGTACGGGGGGGCCCTGCCCACTCTGCTGCTCCCCAAAAGCTGGCAGCTGCCCTAGCATCCCACCACCAAGGGGAGATGAGTTCACAGGGACGGTTTGGGTTGCCTTTATTTTTATTTTCCTCATCATTGGTTAAGCCTGAGAGGGTGCACAACTAACAAAAACCCTTCCCACAGCCAATGTGGGTCCATTACATAAATTCAATTAAACTACAGGGAAGCTTTAATCTTAATTAATTCCAATAGAATAGCACCATCTTGCATGAATTGCTAAGGACAATGCTTGGTGCCTGTGGGGTTGAATAAGCAACAAAGAGGTCCAGGAAAGAGACTTAAAAGAGCTGGATAATAATTTTGAGGCCCTGGACAATAGTTTTGTCCAATCTTCCTCTCTTGAGGGTCAAAGGAGCCACCTGAATTAGTCCTCCCACCCTGCAGTCAGCAGAGCCCAGACCAGGGGTAAGAGGGAGCAGCCTGGGGAGGCCCTGGCCCCCAGCTCCCCTCCTACTCTGCCTGCAACACCCACACATGTTTTTGGGCATTTTGGTCCAGTAGTGATCAACTCCTGAGTTGCTCAGCTGCTTACAGGTGGAAATAGTGGCAGCTGTGAAATGGCCATTCTTGCTTTAACCCTCTTCTGCTAGTCCATGGCTCCTCAGGGACCTGGGGTGCTGGGACTCAGCAAAGTCTGGCCAGGGGGCTGGGAGAAGCCTCTGGGAGCAGTGGGTTGACTTCATGGCGGGGCCCCGTGCAGCCTGATTGGCCACAGCCTTAAGAGGGACACCAAGGGGCAGGTCTCATGGCACAGGGGACACCCCTGGGGGATGGATGGGCCATAAGGAAGAACACATTTTGCTGGGAGCCCTTTTTGTGGTAAAAGAAGCAAATCTTTTCTCAGCACGAAATTTTTCTGAGCAAACACAAAGAATGAGAAAACTCAATTCCATTTTGAGGGCCAAGATTACTGTCTCTCCAAAAGAAAAATGACATCTTCATCATCATATTCAATAGTTGTTTGGAAAGAAACCAGGCAAGGAGGGGGAGAGAGGCAGAGCGAGGCGTGCTTGGCCATCCTGCTCCCTACCTGAACCCCAGATGCTGGCAGCCCTGCCCGGGATGGAGGGGCCGGGGAGCGCCCTGGGCTCAGCTTACCTTGGCAGGCTCCCTCAGCACCCCCTCGGGCATTGTCACCCCATTCATCTTGGCTATCCTCTGCAGCGTGGCCAAGGCAGCCGCCACGTTTCCCGTGGAGACGTTGTACCGTGCGGACTCTGGGATGAACTGAAAGCAGAGCGGTGTCAGAAAGCCTTTCTGCACCTCTCTGTCCACACAGCCCTACTCAGAGCTTCCCATCGTGCCTAGGAGCTCAGCCAGGTTAGCAGAAGCCACTGCCTGAGCTGGAGCAGCCTTTTGCCTGCCCTCCTCTGTACCCCTGCGTGTCCCAGCTCCCCATACCCAACGTTGGGGGGCTCACCCTTCCCAACAGACCCATTTCTTCGTCCAGCTCCCAGGGCTCTGCTGCTGAGCCATCTGTGGCAAGCACTAATGAGGTATGGAAGCCAAAGACACAGGTTTAACAAAACCAATACTTAATCAATTGAAATTCTAAAACAGGATGAGGCATGCATTACTTACTAAGCAAAAATCTTGGAAGACTCAACAAAGCCATTAAAAAAAAGGAAGACATGGATGAAATTTAGGGGCAAGCTCACTCATCACTAGCATTTGCAACATTCACCCACTCCTGGTGCTCTTTCCAAAATAAAATACCTTTTTACTAGATGATGGTTCTATTAAATGATAAACAGTTACATCTGTATCACTGAAATATGGATTAAAGACTCCTTTTTTAAAGGTATGTATGCTCACTGTGTCTTTTTTTCTTCTGGACTAAAAGCTTTTGCTACCCATTTTTTTCTGGCAAAAATAATCAGGGCAACAAAACATCAAAGTTATACAAGTGGCTGTTCACAGCAACCTTGCATTTGACTGCCCAAGTAGCACCCCTAATGGACATGTGCATTCACTCAGCTCCAGGAAGGGCTTTCACATCTGCACATCTTGCACCAGCCACAGCTTAGCACTGCAGTGCCCACGAGCACTGTAAGTAGGGATTTTCTACATCACTCCCCACAAATAAGACAATCCTCATGTCTGAGGCTGGTATCTCTAAAGCATAAGTAAACCTGGGGAAGCCATGGTTGACCCTGACCCATTTGCTCTGTGACCGTTCTACTGAGGCTTCTTTCCTCAGCCCTAGCAAATGTAAAGACTAAAGAGGGGGAGCTGTGGCCAGCACTGGACTGAAGATATTACTTGTGATTTTTTGCATACCCTTCCTACCCTGTCTTCCTCTCGATGCCTGGCCCATCACCATGGCCCCTGGGTACTGCTGGCAGCCTGGACACTGAAGTCTGAGGTGCTGGAGGCTACAGAAGGGCAGCAAAGCAAAGCCAAACCATCTCCTGCAGGGTGACATCTCCCCGGCAGCCAGTCTGCAGCACTCTCAGGCCATCAGGACCTTCCCAAGCACCCCGGGTAAGAGGGCTGCAGTGGTCAAAGAAGGACACAAGGACAGCCCCAGGCTTGCAGGGGGTGGAAGGCGATGCTGCTTGGTGCCTGGGGAGACACCAGGTCGGTGGTGGTACAGTGGGGTGTAGGGAGAAGAGCTCTTCCTACCTTGAACACCAGGATGAGAAGGATGCCAGGGATGGAGGCGATTCTGATCAGCCACCGCCAGCCGATCGTTGGGTTCACCACCGATGCCAAGCCAATGATTAACAAGGATCCTGCCAACCAAAACACCTTTCCAAGGGGAAGTAAAGGGTTAAAACACGAACACATGCCAACAATTTGTTTATTTTCTTCCTTTCTGGTTCAGTTCCATGGATAGGTGGCGATCTGTGCTGGGGAGTGCTGCAGTTAAAACCAAGCCATCCCACAGCTGTCTGAGAAGCTGAGCTTGGGTTGATGGAAAGAGGGAAAGAAAGACAAGGATTTGGAAAGGGACGGCTGAAGATAATCTTAATCAGCTCCAGATGAAAACAGATAACTTGCTGTGGCTACCATTGTGCTTAAAGCCACTTCTTTTTTCCTTCCAGTTGCTTCTCTGCTAATGCTCACGTCCATGAATTTTCCTCTTGTCTAAATCTCTGCAGGGAAGCAGCAGATTTACAAGCACCAAAGGCAAAAATGGTCCAGATTTCCACTGCTGGATGCTGGTGGGTCTCCAGTACACTCAATGCTAAGCTATACCAACAGAGAATCTGGTCCCCCGATCTGCAAGCACATTCCTCCCCAAAGTTCACTTGTTGCCATTAGGAGACACGTCCCTTTCCAGGGGACCACTCAAGGGAGCTCAGCCAATGCAAAACACAAATACATAAAAGCTACAGCAAGTTCATGAGTAATCTTTGGGCAGAAATAACAAATTTCTGGGGCGAAATACAAGACTGTTCTTTTTTATAAACCTTTGTGTTTCTGACCACACTTTGGTAATAAAGCCCTGGGATCAAACAGGCAGTAATGAAAAGCAAGTTATCCCTGCCACCAAGACCGTACACAAACACTTTTGGTTCAACAGTCAGATGAATTCATGTGCTCAATGAGGCCTCAGCAGATCATTTGCACATGCAGCAAGTGCCCGTTACAGAAATCTGGAGTAAGCAACAACTCGAGTCATGCTTGCTGTTGCCTTTGCCCAGTGAGCGGGCACAACCCTCCCAGCACTTCTCAGGCTGAATTTGGGACTATTTATGCTAGCCCTATCCTGCGCAAAGCCCCGTGCTGTCTCTGAACAGGGACAGGGAGAGGCGCAGATTAGGACCTTACCTGGGAATCACCTTATTCATAAATTGTTATGAAACAAGCCCAAAGAGAGGAGGGATGAGCCCAGGCCTGGAGGGGGCCAATGGTGCTGCTAGCCCCAAGGCTTGCAGAAAGCCCACCGGCACTGGCCCCATTAGAGCAGGCAGCACGGTTACTGATAGGGCAACAGAGAGGCTGGGTGTCAGCCGTCACTCAAAGTCCCAGTGCACGTTTGGAACGACCAATTATTTGAGAGGAAATTGCCTCTCTTCTGCAAGCAGCTGCCAGTGTACAGCTTTAATAATGCTGGCGCCACACTGCAGGGCTCAGGAGGCAGCAGGGTCTTCCTCTGGCCCAGACGAGTGTGAATAGTCTGGGAGAAAGGCTCATGTGCTGGAAACCCGGCTTCCAAACAGCAGTGGAACAAACGTTCCAGAACTCAGGGTGAGAAGAAACAGTAACATGCTCACTGTTACCTGAGATAAGGGCAACATGTATCCTCGGTATTTGGTGGGCAAAAATTCCGTTTTTATGATAAGCCTAGAGAAAAAGTGAAAAAAGTGCAGAAATACAGCAACAATGGGAATTTCTGTACCAATCAAGTAGCAGTTCAGCTCAGCTCAGGCAGTGATGGACATTGCTGCCCATGGACAGAGTACCGTCCCTTTTCTACCACTGAGCACCAAGAAACGGGGGATCCCTGCTCAATACGCTTTCCACTCTGGCAGGCACCAAATTACATGCAAGGGAGGCACACAGCATGGATCCTCTCCAGACCACAGCTGTAGGATACAGGCAGGTAAACACTGCACTCTGTACATCAGGAAACCTATGGGAAGATCCTGTGGAGTGGTTGAGGTGTTAGCATGGGCATAGAGTATGTTTATAGAAATGAACAATTTTTAGTGAATAATTTTTTAAAAATAAATAAAGAAAAAAATCTGTTCTACTTTTTTATCAAATGGTTGGATAGCCCTTGGGGGAGGGCCTGGCACTGGCATCTCTCAGCCTCACAGGTGTGAATTGTGCTTCCTTGGCTGGAAAGAGACAGAAGCGGGAGAAACCCATGTTGAGTCTTTCTACCTTGGCTATTGAAATGTCTTATAAGATGTGCAATTTCTCTTGGTCCTCATTCGGCTCATTAGCAGCCTTCATGTCCAGGGAATGGGGGCCCTCCTGAAAGGGAGGCAGTGTCGGGAGCTCTGCGGGTGCATGACCCAGGCGCAGGGTGCCTTCTCTGCCCAATGGCACTTATTTCCCTCCTGATCTTGGGTCAACATGACCAGTTTTGGGCTTCCCTGCATGGGCAGCAGCAAGGCTTTAAGAAACCATGGAAGATGCTGAAATGTTGCTTTTGTTTCCCTGAGAGAGTCAAAAGAAATAATTTATTTTGCCAGGCTCCTAGTAAAGCGGTTGTTAATATTGTGAATTTCTCCTCTCCCCCTCCACGTTGCCCTTTCCACCCCAACAGGGCAGAAATTTTCATTTAAGTGGGAAGGTTTTACATCAGTTCAAGAAGAATTTGCTACTTAAGCAGAATTGTTGTGACTTTTTTATGAGGAAGCAGCCTTTGCTCATCTGTTACCTGTCTAATTGTTTTTATAATATATGTGCTTAATAATCCCTCTGTCACTGGCTTAACATAAACCAGCTGCCCCGTCTATTCTAGGTCTCGGGAGTCCTTGGGAACTGCAATTTAGGTTGATCAACTGGGATTCAGCAAGATTACAGAATGGTTTTTTTTTTTAAAGCGATGCGGGAATTTGCTTCCCTTTCCACTTCCAGCCCCCATGGAGGCCCCTTCCCTGCTGTCTCCACCAGGTCACAGCGCAGCCACGGCTTATCAGGATCAACGTGAAGGAAGCTAAGTGCTCTGCCAGGGTCAGCCCAAATGAGCTGAAGGAACTTTTCTGCGGTAAAGCCAGGAACTCATCCCCCTTGAGTCCATGGGTGCCTCTGCTAACCCCCCTGTGATGGCTGGCTTGCCACCGCCTATGCCACGAGGCGTGAAGCATGGCCTTACCCTTGTGCATGGCCTGACACGCCGCCGCCTACCATGGCCCGCAGGAACACAAACCAGATGTAGGATGGGGCAAACGAGGTCAGCAGGGAGAAATAGGCTGCCCAGAGGAATGAGAGCAGCAGAATCTGCAAAAGGGGAAAAAAATAGGGTCATCAAACCATGGTCTCAGCTAGGTGCATGGCTCCTGTGGGGTTCGGGAAATGGACATGCAGTCCCCGGTGCTCACTCACCTTCCAGCGGCCATACCTGTCGGCCAGGAGCCCGAGCATGATGCTGAAGACCATGTAGCCAAAAAACACCATCTAAGGGGAATTGACACAGAGCTGTGGAGGGCTCACTCCCAGCAGCAGCGGGCAGCTCTGCTCTTTGAATTGTGGGTGATTTGAATGCTTTCCAAGCAGCAGGATGAACTGCAGTGCTCAGAACCATGAACAAGGTGGCTTTCAGGGGTTAACTGCCTCTATATAGGCACTCACTGCTTCAGCCCTCAAAGCTGGGGTTTGGATGGCGAGGACTTCAAAATAAGAATATGGAAGTGAGGGCTTGTTTGGGCATTACAGCTCTGGGACATCTATGTGTGTTCACATCAGCTCGCTTTCTGGTTTTCTACAGTTGTGGTACTGTTCTTGTCCCTGAGAGGAGGCCCTAGGAATTTATTTGGTCCACTGGGAAATGTACCTTACAAAGCCCATGGCAGTGCCCCTCACAATGACCACATGGTGGATGACCTGCGTGGAGAGAACACAAGTCACTCACCGTTGTCACTAAAGCCACCTGCCAGTCTTGAAGCTGCCACTCACATCGGATGAAAGGGGACACAACAGCTATTAGCATGATCTCCATGGCTTCAGCCACCTTCAGGAACGAGTGTGCACATTAGCAAGAAGGGAAGCCACAAGAAGCCCACAGGGGAAAGTCCCTCAGTCCTACCGAGCCTGCAGCCATGGCAGTCCCACTATGTCAAAACAGCCCTATGAAGCCATGGTGCCTCTATAGTGGTCTGAGTCCTGTGGGGACACAACAGCTATTAGCATGATCTCCATGGCTTCAGCCACCTTCAGGAACGAGTGTGCACATTAGCAAGAAGGGAAGCCACAAGAAGCCCACAGGGGAAAGTCCCTCAGTCCTACCGAGCCTGCAGCCATGGCAGTCCCACTATGTCAAAACAGCCCTATGAAGCCATGGTGCCTCTATAGTGGTCTGAGTCCTGTGCCTGATCTGGAAGACGTGAGCACTTGGAAACAGGGGCAGAGGGGAGAAAGTTGCACCTAGAAAGCAGGTATCTAGGCACACGGTGTTATCTAGGAAGGCTGGAAAGACTCATCCTTTGCAGAGGAGACTTATCCAGCTGTGCTAGTGGAAGGTCTTCCACTATCTCTGAAAAAACAAGCTGCTTGGTTAGGCCCTATGGTGTGAATCTGGGCATCTAACACCAAGATGACCTCTTAAGACTGTTTTTGATTAAAAAACTCATTGCTGCCTTGGCTGTTTGCCCCAGCAGCTGGCTTCAGTTAAGCCTATGTTTACACACAGCTAGAGGCTTTTACACCTCAGCTGCAGTGATCCTCATGGATATGTCCCCATCCCATCCTTACCCCAGCCTGGCCTCATGCTTTTGCCCCACTTACCAAACCAGATACACCATGAACACAAGAACCTGCCAGTTAAGAAATTATTCAGTAGCCAAGGGTGAGAGGAGGCTAGCTCTCCCATGCCGGATTACACAGCGTTTGGGTGCCCTGGGGATGGCATGAAAAATGCTGTGAGGAGGCTGAACTTATCCCTCAGACACTATTGAAGACGTGCCTCACCAGTGCTGCCCAGTTGGATGGTGCTCCAGGGCAGGGGCCAGGCCAGGGTGCTCTGGGACAACCTGCTCAGCTTTGCCCTGAAATAGCTCTGATATTAATTGGGGCCAATGTTGATTTTGGCTGAAGATGACAACAGCAGAAATTGTTCTTCAGAAGGTATGTGTGAAAAAAACGGGCTGCAATATGTGCCCATAGTGCTTATGGTTGTTATTGCACAGTAACAAGGAAAACGAGAAGAGCATTTTTCAGGCCAGTACAGATGGCTGCAGACACCTACCCCAGTGCTGCCCATGATCAGGAAAAGCACAATGTGGAACCTCCCAAACCCAATGGTTTCCACGGCTTCTTCCACTGTAAATGTCTTCTGCCCTGAACACCAAAGGGAAAGAAAGACAGAGACAAAAAAAACATGTCAGCAGTCAAATTGTGCCTCCTCTTTACGAAATGTCAGTGGTTTATATGCTACTGTGGGACCGTACCAGGAAAAAGGCTGGAAACATCTACCAGCTGTGTGTCCACTGACCAGCCACTGGGCACACTGGTGGCCAGGCACGTCAGGGGGTTGTTGAAACAGCAGCTGGTGGGGAAGAAGGCAGGCTGGGCATGGGGGAAGGACAGCCTTGTACTGAGTTCAGTACTGTCGGGACTGCGTCTGGGCAGTGGCCTACTCTCTTCCCCTGCCCAAACTGCGGTGAGGCTCAGTCCCTCTGCACCCCTGGGGTACAGGCCTGCTCCCAGAGCAGGTGGTGTCAGCTGTGGGCTGACTCAGGTCCAGGCCCTGTGAGATGAGTGCAACCGGGGACTCGAGGTTCAGTTTCATGTCTTAAGCCTTTATTTCTGACGTTTGCCCCATTTCAGGAGCAAACAAAGCATCCCAAGGTCAGAGCTGGGATGGCTTTATAAACAGACCTGGCAGAAAGCTTTCAATATATGTATACTTTTAAGCTCTTGTTTAAGTAAAGTCATAGCTGTATAAATTTTTCTGTCAGGCCATTTATCTCCCAACCCATCAACATTACCTCTGAAATGGAACGGAACTTACTGCAGAATTTCAGGAGAAAAAAAAAATTTTTTTTGCAGATACTGTTCTACATTTTCTTTCACTTTAAAATGCTTTTGAAATAGACTACAATTTTATTTTCAAAAATAAGTTATCCAAAATGAAAGAATCCTTGAATAACAACTATAACAAAATATTTACACGAAACAGAGGCCTGAGAAAAACCAAGCCAGCCCAGCCAGCTCTTCCCACTGCCTTAGGTAGCAGCCACCAGTCTGATAGCTGTGATGGGAGAAGAGCAGTATGAAGCTGATGCCTGTGGCTCCATGTACAGAGGTTTTAGGCATCTGGAGTGCCAGGACTGGGGACCCTCTCTCTACCCCAGCTAAATAAAGACCCAAATTTTTAGTCCTGCCAATACAAACCCACCTTTTGGAGGTTCTTGTCTCTCTGTGTGGACTTCCTCCAAGCCAATAGCATTTTCTGCCTCTTTCAGTGCAATGGCCATCTCAGCTCCTGGTGTGGTCCACCGTCACTGTCAGGCAAGGCTGGGATTTAACTGTGAAACCTCTGGACAGTCACAAAGCAATAAACCAGCAAAGCAGCATCCTGAGGGGGATCTCAGCTGGACTGAGGCCCCTGGACAGGACGACTTTGACCTTGAGAGGATTCCAGTCTACCCATGAGAGAACAAACAGGAGCAAGAAGAGCTGCAGCTGCAAGATAAGCAAGTTCTGAGAAAGTGTCGACCCGTAAGACAAGGCATACATGTACTTTTGTCAGAAAAGCTGAGTTATAATGAACTGTGCAAATAACAAATGATCAAGATTGCATAACAACTTTGAACCAATTAGAGACACATCTAGGAAAGCTAAGGAAATGAGAGTGTAAATGAACAGAGAAAGAGAGCAATAAAGGTTTTTGTACTACAGGCTTTCAGAAAGATTTGCTGTCTTGACCGCGACAGCATCCTATGCTAGAGTGGAAACATTCAGATGTACTCAAACATGGGTTTGTTTCAGGCAGCCACTGGGAGATGTTCCTTCCCACAGTGTTTTTTCCAAAAAAACCCACATAGAAACTTCACAAGTTAATTGAACTGACAGAGATCAGGCAACACCTTGCACTGGCTGTTTTTATGGAAAGTCTAGGGTCTGCCTTAGGAAAGACTGGAGACCTGCTAACACAAGAGACTGTGTGACGACTTCCCCAGCCTGGAGATGAGCGAAATCCAGAGACAGTCAAATGATGATGCATCTCCAAGGGCTAAGGCATGACACAACTGGTAGCAGGTTGCCCCTCTTGGAGGCAGAAATTGCTACCCCCTCGGAGCTGGGGTTGAGTGAGTGGCAGAAGTGCTGCTTTCTGTAATTGCTCAGTTTTATGGAAGCACCCGCTGAGGCAGAGCCAGTGGGTGGGAACAGCCACACTGAGGAGCATGGTGGCCCAGCCTGCTCCCCTAACCCTGGCTGCACTGGGATGGCATGGCTAGTGAGAGGCAAGCACTGAACTCCGCCTCACCCAGCCTGCACCTTGCCAGCATAGTGCTTTCCGCTGCAAACCTGATCCTCTGTCTCACCCCCGGCACTGCGCTAATCCCCATCCTCTCAGGTCAGCAAGAAACACAGCCATATGTTCTGCACTGCAACAGGGGAGAGCTGGCTTCTTCCCACCGTGTTTCTGGTTTCCAATGCTAGATCCCTTGGCCTGATGACAGCCACTTTTCCTGGTCAGAAAAACTAGTCTTAATCCCAGGGCAGGGATTAAGCACACCGCTTGGTTTAACCCACAAGATTTCTTGCTGAGTGTATGCTCAGTGGTGGGGGTGGCTCAACACATCTTCAATTTGATGACAGCCTCTCCTATGATGACCTCCCTCCAGGGGTACCGGACAACATTCATGGCCACTCAGGAGTGACTGGGGAGGCTGCTGCAGGGTGACAGCTTGGGGGAATTAATGCCCGAGAGCATGCAACGAAAGATACAAAACCCTAGCTGAGATAGAGGGCAGCACAAACATGGAAAGCACAGAGTTACAGTACTCCCAGGCTGGACATCTTAAAAGCATTATACTGAGGTACAGTTATAAGGAGGTCATTAATGGCTAATGGCAGATTAGTCAGGTGGGTCACTGTCCTAGGTTACAGT